AAAGTCACATCTTCCATGGATGGTGGATAGTGGTTCCAGTAACGACATGATTGGAGATCTGGAGTCTTTCACCTACATCGATGACAAATACCGCTCCCAAGTCAAATTGGGAGACGGAAAGAAGCTATAAGTGAAAGGAAAAGACATGACATAGTTGTATGCACAGAAGAAGGTAACAAAACACTCATACGAGACGTTTTGCATGTTCTGGAGCTAACTCGCAATCTACTTCGCGTGGGACAACTGATGCTGACAAATTACAAGCTCTTGTTTGATAATGGCGTGTGCGAGGTTATCAACAAAGCTGACAATTTCACGGTGGCCAAAGTCTTGATGACTTCCAAAAGAATTTTCTCTCTTGCAATGTCACAAATTGGTGAAGTAGCAAGTAAGAGTGAAATTCAGGATAATTCCTTCATATGGCATCTAAGATACAGTCATCTTAACTTCAAAGGCCACACATATTTTAGGCAGAAAAATATGGCGGCGGGACTTCCCCAGACCAACAGAGAAGACAAAATTTGTGAAGGATGCATATTTGGCAAAATTCATCGTTTGCCATTTTCAAATACTTCTTAGAGAGCAAAAGTGTCACTAGAGTTGGTATATGCAGAAATATGCGTTCCAACCCGAACACAATCACTCAGCCGTAAAAGATATTTTCTTCTAATTGTAGATGACTTCACCAGAATGATGTGGGTATTCTTTCTGGAGCAAAAGTCAGAAGATTTTTCAAAATTCCTTCAATTTCAAGCAGTAGCTGAGAAGGAAAGCGACCATCAGATCAAAACTCTCCGAACATATGATGGAGGAGAATTTCTTTATACTTCGTTCATGGAGTATTACAACGGTGACAGCTGACGGTCTGTTACACACTACAACAAAATGATGTGAGAAAGAAAAACCGCACGATTGTAGAGATGGAGAGAAGTATGCTCAAATCCAAAAGCTTCCCAATAATTTGTGGCAGAAGCGGTCAATACAAAAATTTACATTCTCAACATATCACAAACCAAAGCAGTTCGGAACAAGACGCCGATACATGCTTCGCACCACATGAGGCCACAGGTGGATCACTTGAAAGTCTTTGGGTGCATAGCTTATGCACATATCTCTACCCCAAACCAAGAAGAGTTTGACCAGAAGGGAGAGAAGTTGATCTTCACCGGCTGCAGTGACAAATCCAAAGGCAATAATTTTCACAATCTAGTAAAGAACATAGTGGTGGTTTCCCAAGATTTGATCTTTGATGAAATGGCGGAGTGGAATTGGGAGAATACAATTTCACAATATCCATCAAGTTATGAAATTTTGGAGGATTCTGCAACTCCAGAAGAACCTAGCAACCAACCAAATCCAATTGCAAGTTCAAATAGGTCTTTGCAAGAATTTTATGAAACAAGTCATCTTGCATATTTTCTATTGAACCTCGATACTTGAAGAAGCAACCAAAGAAGAAGTTTGGATCAAGGCAATAAATGCTGAAATTTCCATGATCGAGAAAAACAAAACATGGGAGCTTGTTGATCTACCGCAGGACAATCCGTTCATAGGTCTCAAATGGATCTATAAGACCAAATTCAATGAAGATAGTTTTATCAAGAAGTACAAAGGCCGACTGGTGGCAAATGGTTATTCACAACAGCCTGGTATTGATTTTCATGAGGCATATGCACCAATAGCGAGGATGGAGACCATCAGAATAGTTCTCGCTCTAGCTGTTCGACTTGAGTTACTAGTATACCAACTGAATGTCAAATAAGCATTTCTGAATGGAGAATTGGAAGAATTCTATGGGGAACAACCACTAGCCTATGAGAAAAAAGGAGAAGAAGATAAATTCTATCGTCTCCGAAAGGCTTTATACGAGATGAAACAAGCACCGAGAGCCTGGAAGAACAGAATTGATCGATATTTTCAGCAGAACAGATTTCAAAGAAGTCTGAGGGAAGTATCTCTCTACATTAAAAAAGGGAGAAAGCAAAGATTTTCTCACTATGTACTTGTATGTTGATGACTTGATTTACACAGGTACAAGTCAGCGGATGATTGAAGATTTCAAAAGTACCATGATGAAAGAATTCGAGATGAAGGACTTTGCACTCATGAAATATTTTCTTGGGATCCAAGTGAAGCAGTCGCCTAGAGAAATACTTATTTCACAGAAGAAGTATACTAAAGATATGCTGAAAATATTTTACATGGCAACATGTAAACCAATTGCAACACGGATGGCATTAAACGAAAAATTGCAACACAATGATGGAGCTGAAAAAGTCGATAGAAAGTTGTACAGAAGTCTTATCGGGTCCCTCATTTCCTGACACATATCATGTCGGATATATGTCATTCATTAACTCTGGTATCAAGATTTATGAATGAACCTAGCAAACTTCATTTTGCAGCAGCCAAATGAATTTTGTGGTATCATCAAGGAACGAAGAAATTAATTGGGTCTGGCGCACAATAAAGAAACAAAAAGCAAGCTGACCGGATTTACCAATAGTGACTAGGCAGGATCACTATATAATAGAAAAAGTACATTGGGTACATATTTTGTCTGGGTTCAACCCCTATTTCTAAGAGTTCAAAGAAGTAGAAGACTGTGGCTTTATCTTTCGTGGAAGCACAATATATCGCAGCTACAAATGCAACATGCGAAGTCGTATGGCTAATTAAATTAATTTTTGATTCGTAGCAAATTCAAAAGGGCCCAACCATTATTCACTGTGATATAGTGATCCTGCCTAGTCACTATTGGTAAATCCGGTCAGCTTGCTTTTTGTTTCTTTATTGTGCGCCAGACCCAATTAATTTCTTCGTTCCTTGATGATACCACATCCATGGTGTTTCTTTATTGTCAGCCATATCCATGGCAAAAAAATCTAGTTTCACGCAAGATCGAATCATATCGAGTTGCGTCATCATTTCATTCGAGACCTCGTCAATGAAGGACAAATCGTGATGGAATTTATCAACACCGATGACCAGCCTGCATATATCATGACAAAGCCGACCACGAGTGAAAATTGTGAGAAGTTCAAGGTGTTAGTGTTGTGGTATATGATCCATGATTGAACCTCTCCCAACAACTCGAGTTATTGGGGTCAACTGGTTCTTGACATGGTATCAGAGCCTTCTGTGACCGTGAGGTCTTCTGTTCGATTTCCGGTGACCCCATCTGTTTCTGTTAAACACACGGTGTCCGGACCTGTGTCTGTCCAAACTCCAAGCCTATCTGAATGGCTTGGGATTGAAGGGGGGGTGTTAGTAAACGGTATATGATCCACGATTGAACCTCTCCCAACAGCTCAAGTTATTGGGACTAACTGGTTCTTGACATGGTATCAGAGCCTTCTGTGACCGAGAGGTCTTGTGTTCGATTCCCGGTGACCCCCATTTGTTAAGCACATGGTATTCTTGTCTTCAGACCTGTGCAAACTTCAACCCCTTGTGAGTGGCTTTCGTTTGAGGGGGCGTGTTAGTGTTGTGGTATATGATCCACGATTGAACCTCTCCCAACAACTCGAGTTATTAGGGTCAACTGGTTCTTGACACAAGGAACCACTCCAGATTGCAAATTAAGAGGGGATGTTGAATGGTAATTAACAATCAACCTACATCTAAACACTTCACATGGTAGGCCAAAACTCAATCAATCAAAGTGGAGCTTCAAAATGGTTGTGATGAGAAAGCATAACCACTAATAATAGTTGCACATTATCAATTCTCCAATGGATAACCCGTTGATGAAGATTGAAGACATGTATTACATTGCATGGACCAATCAGTGGTCATCTTAATGGCCAATTCATGCATATGGAGTAATGTGTGTAAGAAAGATGAGGGGCCATGCATGTCGTGAGTTAATAGTTTGTCTTTCATTTCCCTTATTGTATTCGTTAAATAAGTGTATCTATGGGAAGAAGAGAAGTGGTAGAGAAAAAAAAAAGAACAAAAGAAAGGAAAGAAAGTGTCTCTGCATGTATGCACGCTATGTAAGAAAACGCAAGTGCCAAAAATAAGGCCTTGTTTGGTTAAGTTCATTTTCTGAACTGAATGATTAAACACCAAATGTTTCTTTTGTCTTGATCCAAAATTAGCACTACTTCCGCTAATAGCCAACATCATGAAGCCTGGCAAAACATTCATTTTTCAATGAAGAATGATTATTTTGTACCCAGAGAGGCTTGAATATCCCAGCACTTGACACTTCCATCTCTCCCCTGACTTGCACCACAATAAATATCTTTACTCACTACAAGAACGGCAATCAACAATCACATTTCAAAGTGAGAAGAGTATCTGATTACTTTTTTGGCTCCAAGTCTAGAGCTGCTGACCACTGTTAGGATGTCGTGAGTTGCAGTGTGCATCCTATTCCCACAACAATAAAAAAAAATAGGCATGAAATCGAATGATTAATGTTGGCATGATTTTTTCAGGAAACAATCAAATTGGTCACGGAAATTTCGAATTGACTCATTTTAAAGTAATTGCAGTTGTGTAAAAAAAGACAAATTATTTGAATAGACTCATTTTCAATTACGTAAGTTGAGAAAATCGAATTGTCTCCGCTAGGAAATATCATCACCCTTATAAAAGAAGGGTTAATAGAATTTTGTACCCCTCTACTATGGTAAATTAAGAAACGTATCCCTCTACTAAATTTTTGCACAAACATACCCTTCTATTATTAAAACATAACAAGTTTATCCTTCCATCCAATTATATGTTAAGTGATTGTTAAATGAGCCTTCGAATGACACAATTATCCCTCATTTACTCCTAGAAGCTCCTAATTTTGGTTTTAATTATATTATGTCCCAAATAAATTAATTACAAAATAAAATCCCTAGACTAATTCATACTCACAGAAATTTTTCATCTCCTCGGCGGCTCCCGGGCCGTCGTCAACGGCATCAAAGCCTCTTGGTCCTTGTACTTCCTACCAAATGCCGCCAAAGTAATTACTTTCAATTCCCTCCAACCATGAACAGAGGAAGAAGGAAGGTTTGGAGCTATAAAAATGGTGTTTCCCGTCGGATACACGGAGCTTCTCCCGCTGAACATCTCCTGGTCACCGCCGCCTTCGTCTTCCGACTTTGACTCCTTCTCCAACTCGTTTGCGTTGTTCACGCTATGGTGGTCGTCGTCTGTCGGAGGTGGATTCTTGGATTTTTCAGCACCCGTGTCGGCGAAGATCTGCCAAGACTGCTTTAGTGATCGGGTGCGGCCGTGCGGTGAAAACTCGAGCTTCGGTTAGGGGTTTTATTTTTTTTTTAATTATTTAATTTGAGACATAACACTTTTTTTCTTACAATCAAACCTATAAACTTTATTAATTAACTAGAGTATCATGTTTCAAAATAGATTATAAAAAGATAGGTGGCCTTCCATCCCAAATCTCCTCTGCATCCCAATGGCACAGCGTATGGGCCAATAAGTTGTCTGATTGCATTCTCTTCTTGCAAAACTCTACTAGGTCGGCCCAATCCGGTTTGATTCTAATTCAATCTTTGTGAGCAAAAGCCTAGCTTTCGTCCTTGTTTTCACCTGGTTCTTTAGTGACAAGAACATCGTCTGGCAATCTGTCTCCACGATGACCTGCGGGAGGGCGTTCATTTCCATCAGTTAGAGACCAAACTGAATCGCCCGGATTTCAGCCAATTCCGATGACCATTGGGCACGTTTGCGTCGGACTGCCGCCCACATGAAGTTGCCAAGATCATCTCGCACAACGACTCCATACCCTGTGCCCTCGTGGTCAGCATCGTCGGGTCAACATTCATCTTCAGCCAGCCCGCCGCTGTTTTTTTCCAGGTGCGAATTCGTTCCTCTGCCTGGACCATCTCTTGTGTGTTTTAATTTTGGTATTCCTCTCAGTAACCGATCGCTTTCCTAGCAATTTTCCATTCCTTCGCGTTATGATTGTTGAACAAGTGGTTGTTTCTCTCATACCAGATGAATCATAGTAGAACCCCAAACTGCCCTAAAGTGTCATCATCTGTCATTTCCATAACTTCACACAACCATCTTCCAGATGTTACGGTTCTATCTTGTTCGCATAAATTCCTAAAGGAGGTAGGTCTCCAGATTCGAGTTGTTGTCCATTCATACTCCCTGAAAATATGGTTTTGGGTTTCCTCCAAATCTCAAAAGGGACAATTGGGGCTTGCATCCTTCTTCCTGATCTCTATTGTGCCAACCTCCAAAGGAAAACTCTTACCTTTGAGGGGATAGATAGTATCCATAATCGCTTCCCGTTCATAGGGTCATACACCTCCACTCCTGTCACCTGCTCATCCTCAGGATCTTGTACCATTTCCTCCCAATGTGTCTCCTGTTCTGTTTTCTTCTTGAACCAAAACCAATAAGCTGTTTTAACAGAGTAAATTCCATTCTTCTCAAAACACCATACTCGTTCATCCTATGCTGGTTGCCTAGGGATTGGGCTCCCTTGATTTCTGACCCTGTTCACTAGGTTGAACTGCTACTGTAAGACGTTAGACTTCCATGCCGTAATATCACGATCAATGAGTTCAGCCACTGTTGATGTTTCCCCTATTGCACACTATAGAGTAGTTATTATGTAGCCATCCTCCTATGTATTTTCTAGCCACCTGTCCTGCCAAATATCAGCCATTCTTCCATCTCCAATCATCCATCTTAGACCCTCTTTCACCAAAGTCTGAGCTGCAATTAAGCTTATCCACGTGAATGTAGGATTATACCCCACCCTTGCATGTAGCACGTCTGTATTTGTATAGTATTTAGCTTTTAGGACTCATGCTACAAGCAAGTTTGGACTTTGTAGTAGGTTCCAAACTTTTTTCCCGAGTAAAGCCAAATTGAAAGTCTTGAGGTCTCTAAAGCCTAATCCTCCCTCTTTCGTGGGCTTACAGAGTTTCTTCCAGGCCTTACATGGTATTCTCTTCTCTTCCTTCTTCTTTCCCCACCAGAAACTAGCAATAGCTTTCCTCAATTCGTCAAGTACCCCATCAAGGACCTGAAAGACTAACATTGTGTAGGTGGCCTGTGACTGAGCCACAGCCTTGATCAACACCTCTTTAGCTGCCACTGAAAGTGTCCGACTCTTCTAATGTGTTATCATTTTTCTCACTCGATCCACTAGTACCCCCAAAGACTTCTTTCTTCTGTCTCCCAACAACCGTAGGGAGCCCTAGGTACTTTTGGTGAGATACTACTTGCTTCATTCCCATAATATCTACAAGGCGTTGTCTTTGGTCTGAGTTCAGGTTAGGTCTAAAACTAACCCCTGATTTTGCTAGATTCACCATCTGTCCTGATTCTTCTTCGTAAATTTTCAAAATCTCCTACAACTTACTGCACTCAGTAGAGGTAGCTCTTTCGAAAAAGATGCTATCATCTGCAAAGAGTAGGTTGGAGATCTTAGGCCCCCTCACCGAGCACTTTATTCCATGAATCTTTCCTTCTCTGGTAGCCTTGTTTACTAGGTCAGACAATCCCTCTGCACATAACAGGAAGAGATATGGTGAGATGGGGTCACATTGTCTCAGACCTCTCTCTGGTTGGAAGCTTTCCGTTTGGTGCCCATTCACCACTAGGGAATAAGAAACTGTTGTGACACAGTTTATCACTAACTTAACCCACTGTTCAACAAAACCTAGTTTCAGCATCATTTGCTCGAGAAAGTGTCATTATGAACGATCGTAGGCCTTTGAGATATCCAATTTTGCTGCCATCAGACCTCTTTTGTTCTTTTTCTTCTGTTTCATGGTATTGAAACACTCAAAAGCCACTAGAACATTGTCTGTGATGCTTCTACATTGCACAAAGGAACTCTATGTCTCCCCAGTCACCATGTCTAGAATGGTCATCAAGTGGTTAGCTATTACTTTCGACAGGATTTTGTATAACACCTTGCATTGACTTATTGGTCTAACCTCTTGTGGAGTTTCTGGCCTCTTAGTTTTTGGTATCAGTGCTACCAAGGTGTGGTTTAGCTGTTGCGGGAACTCTCCCAACTCTAAATAGGATCAACTCATTTAACGATCAATTAACGTATAATTGGATGAAAGAGTAAATTTGCTACGTATAAATAATAGAAGGGTTTGTTTGTGCCAAAATTTACTAGAGGAGTACGTTTGTTAATTTATTTACCATAATAGAGGGGTACAATACTATTAAGGCCAATACTATGGTGCCGCTGTAAAAACTGCGGCACCGGAGACGCTGATTCTTATTGGGCCACGTGGAGCTGATGTGGCATTAACTGAATTCATTTAACCCAAATCCAAATATTAACCTAGCAAGCTGGGCGAACCCTACCACCGTCAAACTAACAGGATGCCTTGGTTTTTTTTTTTTTTACGAATGATGCCTTGGTTTTTTTTTCCATTTTTTTGGCAATGTTTTATTTTTCCATTTAGTTTTCGCTTAATTATTTTTCTCCAGAAATTAAAAACGATAAAAAAACACGAAAAGCAAACCCAAAAACGTCTCCTCCATCTCCCGCTCGTCTTATTCTGAAAACAGTGCAGTGTCCGGCGAAGTTATCTACCACACACGCAGCGAGCAGCTCCTCCGGGCTCCGGCTTCTAGGGGCATCGACCGATCCTCCCGCTCCCAACGACGATTACCCACTCCATATCCTCTCGTTCCAACCATTTCAACTCTTTTCTCCACCCAAGATTCCCTTAATGAATTCTAGGGCTCCACAATCCAGATTGTCAATCCAGTGTCAAAGAATCCTGGCATTACGAACTTCTTCACAAACAGCTGTTCAGGGAAGAAACAAAAGGAGAAAGTGCTACATGAAGTGCTCGATTGGCTCAATTGCACCCCACAAAGGGAGTGGAGAAGAAGTCTCAGTCAGAATGACAGTTTGGGGACGTGAGGGTTTGTATTCTATCACCTTACTTGTATACATGAAATGTTGATTCCCCTTTGTTTCACCATCTTAATTGACTTGTAATTTCCGTTTGAGTACCTTATCCGGAAATGTATGCCACTCTCTGCCTGTGAACCACTACTTCCCCTTTTTCTGGTATCCATGTTGATCACTCAGATATCTGGTCATATTCTCTACAAAGTGGTGTTTTGAATTTATTTAGTTTTCATTCTGGGTTTGCGCTAATAGGTTTTTACTAGTTTCTCTGTTAGCTCTCAAGGGGAGGTGCCTTTCCCTGCATAGGCTTGCTTTAAAAAGAAATTTGGCTTTTACTTTAATGTGCAGAGTAGTGCCCTTGCCCGAGCACCTGTACTGTTGATCGAGATAGGGAAGCACTGAGGCTCGCAAGTAATGGCACTGTTCAGACTGATGAACAGACATTATCAATTGATGTTGATGGTTGGGAAAAGACAAAAATGAAGAAGAAGCGCTCTGGGATTAAACCTGATGCTTCTTCAAGTTCAGTCCCTACAAAGCCCACTGACTTATACCGTGATCCTAAAGAGGGGCTGCACTGACGCCCGTTCAAGGTTGAACGGCGACTCTCATGGTTTCAGGTGTGCAACTGGGTCTGTTTATTGTTTACGCATACATCAATAACTAAGGTGTTAAGTTGGTGGTTAATTGTTCAGAAACTTGAGGTCCCTTCTTCAGTTGTTTTCGGCAACCTACTTGATAATGCTTGTTTGATTGAATCTACATATATATGCAGAAACAGTGAGGAAAGCAGAAATGATGAATGTTTTCGTATCTGTGAGACTTGATTCAAATAGTGGTGCCCCTTCTTGTTTGTTTCTTTATTCCATGGTCTCCATCTCTGGTTTAGCCTTGAAGCAGTAAGAGAAGTGTAATGGTGCCTAACAGGAAGAGTGAAAACACCTTAGCTACAGATCCTCATAATATTATGATGCAATTTTAAGGTGCTTTTTGAATTCTTGATCATGTTTATAGTTCAATTTTCTATACTTTGTGGTACATTTACAAATCTTAGGCGCTGGACTACAAAGAACTTTCAGTTAAGATTTTACTTGCGTGGCGTATATCATGCTGGCGGGTTGTAAAGTTCTAGTAATTACCAGAATCGCGGTTTGTTCTGAAACGTGGACAATGATACTTACTAAGGTGTTTGAGTAATTGTGCAGTCTGCTTACCAAATATTATCAGAAGTAATTGTCCACTTTCCATGCTTGATTCTTAGTTCATTTTGATAAGCCCAAGTCAATTTGTTTTAGACTTTTAGTCTTTATTTAACTGAATTCAGAATTTGCTGTATGACATGATCATGTACTATTTTGATGATTACTGATTTATATTTTATACTTTTAGGCCAGGAGTTGCAAGTGCTGGTGGTGTTCGAAAACCCGACAGTGTCTCTCAGTCACCAGACTTGGGTGTCTGCTGATCCGTCCCTAGGGTAGACCTTGAAAATGGTTTCGTTCTAAATGATAGAAGAGAGTGCATAGTCAGCTCAGCGATGAAGTGGCGGGGGGTTCAAAAATGACAGTTTGGGGTAGGAGTTGTTACTGAATGACTCTGAACAGTGATTTTGTTTGCAGAGTTACTAGTAAGTGAACTGATGTATAGAAACACAGAGCTAACCCTTCACTCCTTCAGGCTGAGTTCTACCTTTTTTGTCTACCTCTTTCGAAGACAACTCATGTCTGTAACTCAATAGAGTTTTCTAATATTATAAATCGAGAAGCAAGTTTGCAAATCACTCCTGCTTTTCTTCCTTCATAGGTTCTGAATGATGGATGAATGTGCAATTCTAGCTGGAATTTATTATAACCTTTAACCGACTTATCTAATTCAATTCGATCGCTTGTTTGAGAGGCCTAACTCTCTAGCTAATGTCCGGATAATAAATTGTGGTGTGTTTGAGACATCAAAGGTGCAGTATGGAACTTCTTCGTCCAATGTGGATTGGTTGTTTGGTGGAGCTGAACCGCTTCTAACCTGAACAAACATATTCATCGTGTTGGCCTCGACGCAAGCATTTAGGAAAGGGAACGAACCCTATAACATGGATGATCCAAGCCCCGGTCCATTGAACAAAGAGGAAAACAGGACCTCTGACTCCTAGCTTCTGGGCATTACTAATCCAACTTGAGGATTCTGTGATTCTAGAGAATACAGAAAATACAAGCTCAAAACTTCCCTATGTATTGATGATATTTGTGTATATTTTTGCATGCTGGGACCAATTCAGTCTAGGCAGCTGATTCTCCTTACCCTTAAACATTTCCTGAATTGCTAAGACATGTAACGAACCACACACCGAATCCATCAACATAATATAACCTGGAAACGAATGCTACTTACTCCAGATTCGTATGCCTCTCACTGCGAATCATGAACTTGTTGCAACTCGTGATAATTAGTCTTCCTAGTTCCTACTAAAACTCTATACTATTCTGACAAGACACAACAAGTATGACAGAACATAAGAACACCCCCAAAAACAACACACGAGCATAAAATCCAAGCATTCAGCAACAGACCAGAAGGCACAGCCCATGGTAAAAACAACTCCCAGTAATTTGCAATTGACGGGGACGGTTTACAGCGATGGGGAAGAAGCAGCGGGAGTTAGCCATCTTATTCTTTGACTAGGGATCATCTGGTATCGTGGCAAAGTTCTGCTCGACGGAGACAGAGTGACAGGTGACGAATGGGAATCGACGGCTATGTTCTGCAGAATAAATGAAGGAAACAGAGAATGATCAGCCTTAGATTCTTTCGTTGGACCTTGGGATTTGATCAACGACAGAGTCGTCAAAAGTGATTTCGATAGGCCATCCGTCACCGGAGAGGGAGATTGAGGAGACGACGATTCATTTTTTGAGTTCGTTTTTATCCTCGCCCTTCACTGTTAACGGTTTTTGTTTGAGGCTCAAACAGTTTTCTTATAATCTTCTATTTAAACGAGAAGAGGGTTTGGAGTTTGATCGGCGACGGTGGAGTTCGCCGGAACAGTTCACAGTCGCAAGGCGAGAGATCGAGGAAGACGCCAAAAATTCCCCTGTTTGCTTGTTTATTTCTTGAGAAAAATGAATGTAATTAAACGAAAAACTAAATGGACAAAGAGGCATCCCGTTAGTTTGACGGTGGTCGGGTTCGGCCAGCTTGCTCGGTTAATATTTGGGCTTGGATTAAATAAACCTAGTCAATACCACATCAGCTCCATGTGGCCCAATAAGAATTAGCGTCACCGGTGCCGCAGTTTTATAGCGGCACCGTAGTATTAGCCTACTATTAACCTTTAAAAAAACGTGAGGGAAGACTGACCCATTTATAGTTTGGGCTTCATGGTTGTCGCGGGTTTGGCCTGCTAATAAACCAGTGGATAATTTGATCGTCCTGGACTTGGAATTTGGCCAGAAACCGTAATAAAATTTAGTTCTGAACTTACACCAACAAAAAAAAAAAAAAATTGTAGAAGTTCGCATTATATCTTAGAGAAATCATATTGGAAATGAAAAATAAATCACAGGAAGTTCTCCGAGCAACCAAATCGGACAGAGGAATGGATCCGGCGGATTATTTCACGACCTTATTGACATGAAATTCTCCGAAAGGAAATCCTCCAAACTCAGAATCAGCGGAACCATTGCTTAATTCCCCGTATGAAACTCGAGAGCTTCTCGAAAATCGACGGCTTGCTTCTCTTCTTCACCATTCTCTTCCTCCCGTTACTGCCCTGACTCGACGATCTCCTCGCCGCCGGAGGTCGCGGTAGCCTCCGGCGATTCGATTCCGCCGCCATAGCCGGAGCCCGAGCCCTACCTTTCGGAATCACAATCCATCCTCCAACTCTGCCGCTCGAATCCCTTGCTGCCGCCGCCTCCTCCACTTCCGCCATATCCTCCCTCGCTGCCGCCGCCAAATCCTCCTCGTCTTCCACAATCGCATCCTCCTCTTTCTCATCCTCCCACGCCGCCGCACGCCGGCCGCTCTTCCGTCCGTTCGCCTTATTAAAATTACTCGAATTGCTGTACGCCTGCTTCAACTTCGCCAGAGCGATGTTCCGGCTGGCCTCCGCCGCGAGCTTCTGCTCCACCGATACGGAAACTCTCCACCGGCACAGCTCCGTCTCCTCGTGGGCCCTCCTTATCAGCTCGTCGTATTCCTCCGCCGTCAATTCTACGGTCCCGTACTCCGCCGTCGTCGACAGCGCGATAACCGCCGCCGCGTCCTCCGCCGAACTCGCAAACGCCTCCGCCTCGATCCGTACCGCGCGGAGCTTCAATTGAAGCGCGTGGAGGCTCTGCCGCCGCACCCTGAGGACCTTCTTCAACTTCATCCGCTCCCTCCGCTGCTCGTCGGCCTCCATCTTGATTGCCTCCAGATCTTTGCAGGTCTGGTCGACGGCGAGAGTCAATTCGTTCGTCGCATTCATCGCCTTCACCTCGCCCTCCATCTCCGACCTCACCCGCCGGTGAATCGCCTCCATCTCCGATTTCAATTCCGAAATGGCCGCCCTCGCTCCCGATCCCCTGTTCTTGGCAGCGTCCACTTTGGACTGTACCTTCTCGAGCTCGTCGATCAGCGGCTTCGAATCGAGCCAGGATTGCGTCGCTTCGTCTTTCGCTCGATCCAATTCAGCCTTCGTTTTGATCAGCTCCTTCATCTCCGACCTCACCGTCCGATCTCTTCGGCGGTAACGTTCGTCGCCTTCTTCCATAGCTTCCGTGCGGCGGCAGAGTTATGGGTGAAGGAGATAGTTTCTTTCTTCTATATTGAATACAATTATTGTGTCACTTTGGATTGTCCAGGGAGGGAGGGAGGGAGGCTTTAGCCGATTGAAATGCTTATTTATTTAATGAATGAATGAATTCCCTTGTTCATCCCGCTCTTTTTCGGGAAGCTGTCGTATTCCACTGTGGTGTTCATTGGCTGACTCCTTCCTCCCCCTCGTTCAAGTACTCTGTCGATTCTGCCATTAGCACGATTTGGAGAGAGCAGACGTTTTCAGAGTAACAAAACAACAAAAAACAAGTAGTCTGTCTCCATCTGTAAAAAGCAGCACTTCAGTTCATGGGAATGTCTACATAGAGACTGCTGCACATTTGGTGATCACCTGATGAATCAACATCCATAGGCAAAGCATTTTTTTCTGTTACATGGTCAATTAAGGGATCCTTTGCCTCCCATCACAAATGTTCATATGCATCTTAGGTTTGCATCATTTTGAAAACTAATAAACATTTATGAATGATCACAAAATGATCACAAAACGTTTATTATTTTTCCTTTTTTTTTATCTTTACGAGAGAGACAAAGCAAATAAGAGGAAATTTTTATGGAATGATGAATTCAAACTTGTAACCTATGTTGGAGTTTTTCATTATAGGTCGAGTATAAATTATACAACGACTAAGGAAGTTGTTAAAAGGCATGTGATTTGATCAATCCAATTCCCTTACCGTGGTTTGAGTTCTTTTTGTCTCCTCGTGAGTAAAATTATTTGGCTCTCGTATATTCACTAGCTTTGACCTGGCCCGTTGGCCGGATTACTTTAATTTACTAATTATGGAATGGGGGGAGAGAGCTAGAGGAGGAAAAACATTTATTTGGGTCGAACTCACAATTTGAATCTATTTGAGACCATATAATTATACCTATAAAGAAATATCGACCATCTAGCTATTCGCATTAAACCAATTCACACCTTCATTATCGGTGTTTCCACATTTATGTTTGTTATACAAAAAAAAATTGCAAAAATTACATTAGAGTTTATATTCTTTTTTTTTTGTAGCCAATGTAATAGGTCTAATTTAGACCCAAACTAAATAGTCGTTTATTGGTATGACCTTCAAGTGATATTACCAAATATGATTTGACTGGTAATAAATTGGGTTTGGGAAGGATGTTTTTTTGCAATTCATACTGGAGGGAATTTTTTAGGCCACGTTTGGCATTAGTTGTTCATTCACCACCACATCCACCGCTAAGGTATCACTTTCTCATAAGACTTTTTAATTTACTGCGAAATGAGATGATCTAAATTCCTTCAGTTTTGGGTTTCAAAATACTAATTTGCAATCACTTATTTACATAGTTTCCATCTCCTACTTTTAAATGTGTGAGATTTAAAGTTTCTACTTTTTATTACAACCGTCGAGACTCTTCCTCGAATACTCTAACATTTATTAGAACTTCCAATGAAAGTTCTACTTGCCAGTCTATACTCGGTTGGTCGAATGACTTACTGCTACAACTTGTTCCGAGACTCCAACTCTTAGCCCCCTAGTTCCAACTCATTACAGAGGTTCCTCCTTCTGTCACCCCTCATGTACCCTAGGTGGCTAGGTACTCCCTCCATTTAGGATAGGACAATCACATAACAGATCATCGTGAACTCTTGCATTCCCTTTCAACGGTCCCAACGACCTCCTAATCTTTCGTGATCTGGGTGGTTTGCAGGGTCTCTAATATCCTCGTTCTAGCTTGGTGTTATCTTATTATTCAACCCACGCATTTCCGAGATGTGATTCTATATTCATACTACCATTTACCAGCTAACAGTTACTCTCTCCCATAACCTGTCTTTTCCTACGTATTGACTCACCATTGTCTTCTACAGGCATGCTTTAGACTTTGGTGGCGCTTTCGCCCATGTCTCATCTAATGGTGGCCGTATTGAGACCATAACGTGTCCTCTACATCCTTTATCTCGTTTCTTACCTTAGTCCTATTAAAGGTTTTCTATTGGCCGAGTTTCCATGTCCTTGGACCCTCTTCTTTAGCGACGTAGTCTATCTATCAGGGGTTTCCTTTGTCGATTTATGTACACGACAATGCTTCCTCCTTATCCTTGACCTACTGATTCCTTGACGTTCTTTCAGACTCCCTATAACCTACTTACTTCCTCCTTGGCTTCATCCATAAGACCCTATCGTTGCTTCAGGTTTAAACTTTCCACTACTCCTTCAACTACTTCAAAATCCTCGCAGTATTCCCTTACGATTGGCACCTCTTCAATTAGAACTAGAGTTAATTACCTTGATACTATTAGAGTAGACTGGAGATTCTATAAACTCTCAAAAGAAGATCCTTGACTCATTCTCCTTTCCTTTTAAAACAAACTCCTTTAAAACCGAGACCGATACTCCAGTATTCCTTAGATACCAAGGAATAGAGGAAGACCGGCTCTGATACCAAAATGTAACACCCTAACCCGGCCGAGTACTACTTTTACTAAAATGCCCTTGAAAAAATAAAATGCTAAAATCTTAAATTGCAACGGGAATTTTTTTCGTAAATAACATACTGAAAAAACACACTTGTAGTTCAAAGCAACGCCCTAACACGTGGGCAAATTAAACTCAAACTTTAAAATATCAATCTAAACTCCAGTCTATACTCATAATCATACAACGTAATAACTAACTAGTCTCAATTACTGCTGCTGCTCCAAGACGCTCATATCGTTTTCCTCTAGCTGGCTTCCCTCGAATTGTTTCTCTCTATCTCGCTGCTCTCTAGCTGCTCCTCCTCTTCCTCTTCAAACTGGTGAGTGAGTTAGAGTCAGTCTACGCCCTTACGATTTAAACTTCCTACTGCTTAGCACTTTACTTAAAACACTTACTTAAATTGGTGGAAGTTGTTTGTACTTCCACTCTTAAAAACTCTTAACTCTTAACTGTGCGGAAGCTAGATTTACTCTCCCTTCTTAAAGCTCAAATCTTGACTTAAACTTTTGATTGACACGGGGATCCCTCACTAGCTAGTCCGGTTGCCAACTCATACGTATGAGAAGCGATAGAGGCTTTCCTTCAACTTAAACTTAGTTAGGGAAGTCGTAACGATTCATCCCCCTAACATCTTAAACTTATCGTGGTGGCTCTTCGCCACGATTCTCAAGCTGCTTATCTTAAAAGTCTGAAGAGCATAACTGTTGCTCTATCTCGAAATCTCAAATGGCAACGGATTGCGCTAGTGACTAAAACTCTTAAAACGATTCCACCTTCTTCTAAGGTTAAGTACTTCTTGAAAGGGACTTGTTTCTTAGACTTTAACTATAACTCATAAACAGTTACTTCAAATCATAGCTATCAACCAAAACACATATCAACAACCATAGCAATCACTTCACAAAATTACTTAAAGCTCGTAAGATAAATACTTGAAAAATACGTAAGGCGTAGAATTTACCCCCTTTACACTCACCTGATTATATAGCTAAAATTCATCGGCTTCATGAACTAGGTACTCCAAAAGATGTCATGGCACAGTTTAGCATTTAATCGACGATGCTCCCCCATTAACTCCATTTGTCTGGGTCGCCAAAAATCAACCACAACAAATCTCCCAAGCCATGTTAAAGGACCTCCCATATACGTACATATTTACTTAACCATTTCAGTTGATATCCCTCTATGAAATAACTAAATGCGAGTATTCTAGGTAACTTACCCAAAACCATAAGCCTTCAAACTTCTCACCTCCCCTGCTCTGGCTCCCATTCGATTGTCCTACGGAATTGGCATCCACACATCTCGTCTGCTTCCCATTCAATTGCCTTCTCCACCTCCTACCTTGCTTAAGCAAACAAGTCTATTAAGCAAGCAGATTTTGCAGTCGACGGCGAAAGTGCATCCACCTATCTTCCCGTCCAACTGCTTCTCCTGCGTGCTTTGGCAATCAGGTCTATTAAGCAAGCAACTCTCGTTGTATACAACCGAGAGCCAGGGCCTAAGATCAAACCGAAAGGCATAGTCGATAAACAACAAGTGAATATTCCTGTACTACCCTTCCACACGTCTCCTGTCCCCCTGCTCGTTTTACCATTTGACCTGGCCTCCTGCTTGCTCAAGCAGGCAGGACCCACAGTTGTGAGCAGTAACAAACCACCCATCTCGTTCGGCTGCTGCTTTGCGGAAGGAAAGCCCCAAGCCGAGGCTGCTTTGTGGAAACGAAAGCCCGCCGCCCAGCTGTTGATCATCTCCTCCGCTTCCCCCTTCATCTGTGCGTCGTTGTTCCCCATCCAGCCTCCTTTTTGCTTAAGAAAGCACGTCTCATAGTGGAGGGGACAAAGTACCAAGCGATGAGGGTGATTAACACAGAAGGTTTAATATTAATTGGTAGTGATTAAGGCGGGTTACCTTATGTTTTAATTACTTGGAGGGGTATTTTCATAAATTACGGCTGAGTTTTATCCAAAACTCAACTAACGTTCGTACCTTAACTCGATTTATGCCGAAACTCGACACCGTTTGAACCGATAGTTCACGTTTTTAGTGCTCATCAATATTAGGTTGAATTGGATAAAGTTTGACCAAGGGCAAGATGGTCATTTTGACTTGAAAAAAGGCAGGGTGTAACATAGCATATTTGGGTAACCCTTCAATAAAATCCATAGACAGATGTTGACTGGCTCCTTCAAGAATGGGGAGAGGTTGTAAATACCCATGGTAAGACACATTCTCTGTCTTTTACCAATGCCAAATGCCACACTGACCTACAAACTCCCTTAACTGTCTTTTCATACCAGGCCAATAAAATAACTTCTTAAGCCTATGATAGAAAGCCTGAACTCATACACAACCTCCCACTGGAGAGCCATGAAACAGCTGCAACAACTTAGTTCTCATGGCACCTTCAGCTCCCCACTATATGGCCTAGGAAATGAAAACTTTCGTTATGAGTGAATGGACCTCAAGGTCTCCAACATAAGTTACTTCAGCCTTAGTTAACTATGTTG